AGATTACGAATATACTCAACCTCATCTTATCTGCTGCCCGTTGACAAAAAATTACTTGGTGTTATCTGTTTGATTAAACCATATGTAAAATGTAGCATAGTTCGGTTGAATCATATTCAGACAAAAATGAAAACGATGCATTTTTGATGGGTATCTTTTGAAGATTCGCTAACTAATTGTAGGATCGTTTCAGTGATCCAAGCGCAGTACTTCCTTTCTGGGATAAGATTCGCCTGTTGTTCCATGGTCGTTTATCGATGTTGTGTAAGCATTTAGTGACATCGATGCTGGCCACAACGGACCCGTATAATGACACGGAACTTGTTGAGATCTCATGGAAAGATTTCGAATTCGATTGGACCACTGGTGAGTTAGTTGCGCGCAGAATGTTATTGCGATAGGCATTTTGATTTTAGGATATGATTTTTTTTGTTGAGTCCTCTTTAGTTTTTGGCATTTTTAAGAAGAATCCTTTATTGTAATCGAAATATTGTAAACAGTGCGATTTTTTTTCGCTCGAATTGCGAAGTTTTTGAATTTATTCAATTGAAGAGTATCCTCATCCCATTGCAATAGATATACGTTCGGCAGTGATGATCATTGAAATAGGACATCATAAATTTGACATCAGTGCTTGTCATTAATAGAACGCAAAGAAGTGCGAAGAAGTGAAATTCAATAGAACTTTTTTCTATCCTTGGCGGTAGCATTTCAGTAGATGAGCCGAACGTATACCAAGCAATATATTAATAGTAAGATTATCGGGGGAATCTTTTTGGGGGCAAAAAATTCATTGCAGTCAACTGTTCGTTATTCGAAATGCTTTTTTTAATGATGGAAATTTTTATGTGCAAAAAAAGTTTTGAATTGTTCATTGAATTAACGAGGGTTTCCTAGTGCAGGTCAGTTGTGTATGCAAACAGACGTGGACACGTTCGTGAGAACGGCTTCGAAATACGACGACAGTCGCGTGCTGCATCTGCCCGGTTTCAAGTTCAGCGTTCTCATGAACTGGGCTTGCATCGGTGACCCGTACGATCATCACAGTGCACAACCGTGTGCTCCTGATAAACTGCCCGATTACGCTTCGACGAATCATGTTAGCTTTGGCTTTTTTGGCTTTTTTTTTCGTTCAATCAGTTATACGACGACAGTAAGCATCACTCTTATTATTATTATTATTATTATTAATACTATTATTGTTGTTGTTATTTTTTTCATCGTAGTCTGCAATGGTCACTGTCGTAATTGATCACTCGTATGATTATTTCATGCCCTTGTAAACCTGTTTTGTTTCTGATGATAGTTTACTTTGTACTATCTGTTTAATCATACTGTATATGACAGAACTAAATAAGCAAATACCACATGAAATAGATCAAACTGGATACAATCGGTAAGTATGATAGCTGATGACAGGACTAAATGACGGAAAAGAGGACTAAAGCGAACTAATCAATGAAGTCAGTGAAGTGGCCTTACGGACACTCTACAAATGAAATTTTAAAAACATCAGTGCATGCTAAAGATTTGTTAAGCTAAAGATAGTGAATGATGTGGTTGGAGAAGAAGTTTGACAGTGAGCGGCGATTGGATTGCATTATTTATTTGCAGGAACACGACTCTTATCGAGCGTTTCGTTCAACGCATTTGGATTTGATTCTGAATATTGAGGTGAAACCGCAGAGTGAGTTGGCATCGGACAGCCAGTATCCGCAAATACTTCTCTATGCGAATACTTTCAGATGGCTCGAGTTTTTGAAGGTTTCTGACGATTCATTGTTTCACGTTGACTTTTCCTCGTGGGTTTGACTTTTTGGACAGGTTCTTTTCGTCACCGTGCGACTGACTCGCCATAGTGGATGAAGACAGATGAGTGGTCGTAAGGTGTTCAGATGATGACTGTAATCGGTTTTTAATTTGAGATTTGATTTGATCAGTGATATTGGTGATTCCAAAGGCATAAAATAACAGGAGGCATAAAGGCATAAACTCGTAGTGAATTGTTGTATTTGTGGATTCAGTGAATGAATGAATAAATCGGCAGTTGTGTCTTTTACAGAATACGATGACCACAGTGAATCGTCCCATCAGAAAAGGGACGTTGTTTGGTGCGAATCAATCGAAGAAACGTCAACTGATCCGACACTACAAACACATCAGATTGAATGTCACACTGCCCCGATTCCTGATCTCCTATTGGATGTCATTCTCGTCATCACACGGCTTTCGAATGATTAGCGAAAGTCTTCATCTCACCTCTTCAATGCAACTTCACATTATACCATCGAACAATGAGTCGCATGTT